GGTGTGGCCCTCTTCCTTCCCTGTATCCACGACCAGCAGTTTCGTTCTGGCTTGAACTCCTCAGGTAGAGATAGCGGAGCTGGGATTGGAACAGAAATCCTTCCAACCCAAAAACAAGCATACGTCATTTCTGAGGATCAGTACACGTAAATGTATGTCCCGGAGGGATTTGGCATGGTGAGATCACCAGGACTGCTCGAATGCCGAAACCTGGACTGCATACATGGCACATCATAACTTGTGTGTGAAACTGATACGCGAAAACAAGGTCACGCATCAGCAGAAGTTAATGAAGCGATTCTGCACTAACCACAAACTCCCGTACAGGCACGTTAACGGCCATCGAAAGGTAAAGCGAGGGGTTCCGGCGCTAGTCACGGCTGATGGATACACGCGGTCAGCAATGGAAGCAGCTGATCTCCTACGGCTTCATTACTCCCAAACGTTCCAACAAGTGTCGAGCCCAAACATTCTCCTCATTTCTAATACTCCACCATCTGGTTTAGAAAATCACCTTCACTACGGAGGCTGTGTTGAAGAAGTTGTTATCCTTGCGTATCCACAGTTCTCCCGGAGCTGATAACATCCGACCAAAGACTCTGCAGGCGGTAGCTAGTGATCTAGCAGAACCACTGGCTGTTTTCTATCGGCGATGTCTAGAAGAGAACCATATTCCACCAGTATGGAAGCGAGTGGTCATCACTCCTATCCATAAAGGAGGTAGCCGCACTGACCCTACCAACTACTGTCCAATAACACTACTTCCTGTACTATCCAAAGTGATGGAATCAATCATCGCAGATGCGCAGATGCAGTATCTGAAAAGCCACAATTTAATAGCCCCAGAGCAACATGGCTTTCGTCAAAAGCATTCGTGTAATACTAACCTATTAATTGCACGTAATAGCTGGACTGAAGCTGTTGATGATGGAGTTGGAGTCGATGTCATCTACCTGGATTTATCAAAAGCGTTCGATCGCTTAGACCATCGAATTCTCCTTCAGAAGCTTCGGAACTACGGCATTGGCGATCCAATCCTGAGTTGGATTAGCAATTTTCTCCAAGAACGACGGCTAGCGGTGAGAGTCCGAGAATCATTTTCTCATGCAATCGACGTGACGTGTGGAGTACCACAAGGCTCGGTGTTTGGACCTCGTCTATTCTTGGTGTGCATTAACGATTTGGCGAGAACATTTGCTTCCGATTTCCTATTTTTTGCTGATGATATCACGATATGTCGAAGGATCAGAGGACCGTAAGACCACGGACAGCTCCAGTGCGATCTTAACACAGTGGCGAAGTGGTCAGTTCAAACGCATTACCATTCAACGTAGATAAATGTCGCGTAGTACAATTACGCCATAGACATAACTACAACTACATACTTGAGACAAACGGATTACAGGCTAGCTCCCAGGAACGTGACCTTGGTGTGCTCGTACAGGGCGACTTCAGCTCTTCAAAACAGGCTGAGGTAGCTGCAATAGGAGGCAACCAGCACGTCGGCATGCTGCGAAGGGCATTCGGGAGATTTGACCCATCAATCTTCCCAATGATGCTCAATCCTACGTGCGCCCGCATGTTGAATACGCAATCCAAGCTTGGCAACCTTGGTTGAAACGCGACCTAGAAGCGATAGAGGCACCACAACGAAGAGTAACAAAGAATGCAAAGGGTCTGCGCTATCACTCTTACTACCGAAGGCTGAAGTTGCTGGGAAGTTTCAGTGAACGCTATCGAAGGCTGCGCGTCGATCTCGTATTAGCGTATCAGATACTGAGTGACCCCAACCACGTATACCGCCATTTGCTGAAACTTAGCCACAACACGCAGCTCAGGAGTAACTGCTTAGAATAGAACGAACAATATAGCCGTCTAGTGTGTCGACGTAATTACTTTTCCCTTCGGGTTTGCCAACCCTGGAACGCACTCTCAGACTCAGTAGTATCCTCTCCTACCTTGGACGTTTTCAAAAAACGATTGGATGTTGCTCTTAGCTCCCAGCATTTTGTTTAGGTATTTTGTTTAAGTATAAACTCCTCTATTGTGGATTACGCCAAGCACACTTTTCTACAGGGTTTATGTATCAAATGGACCCAAGTGAGCGACCATATTTTACTTTTCTCGAGCCTTATATCAACGACCACTGCACCCCAGTGTCTTTCTGAACGTTTACCTTCGATTTTTGTTAATTTTACACTGATGTTAATTATCAAATTATTCATCTCGGCAGACGTTCGGTAGATGACCCATATATATCCTGATTTCATCATATTCACCCCAACCATCCTACGGGACGTGTCAAGCACTTGCTTTTATCCCGTGATAAATCATGGTTCATTGTTCATACTGCTTGGCGGCTATCACTATGATCACTAGGTCATTGAGCTCCGCAGGCAGTAGTTGATTCGAATACCATCCTCCGGATTTTGTTTGCTTTTATGACGTTCACTACAAGAAACACCTGGAGAATTACGAACAGTGCATGTGGTGGTACCGAGGCGTGATTGACAATTGAACTTCTTCTGCATCATCTCCTGAATGAAGTGTTACTTGGAGTAACGGTGATTTACCTCGGTATACTGTTTGTGCGAAGGACGTGGCTCACCATAGTAGCGGGCTTAGCTTGGACTCTTATTAGATGACACGGAGAGTCCCCCTGATACCCAGTGTCTAGCAACTTGTGTTTGCTGAAGTTTACCTAGAATTCAGGAAACCTGGAGCATATGACAGTGAGATTATGATGTAGGCTGGCGTTCTCCATTTTTGAGGGCTTTGTAGCCGTTTTCTTTGCTAGCACAGCAGCTGGAATCCTGGTTTCTTTGGTGGTACTGCAGAACTATTTCACGAAGTTTGGTAACTGGTGGGGCTACCTTTGAGGATGCCGCTGATAAGAGGGTGGCAGCAACGGATGCATATCTTGTTGGTCCTCCAGCAGCATACGATGTGGCACGTGGCTCTTTTGAAGCATGTTCTACGACCGTATCTTTAAGAGCAGTCCATAATATCGTGGTGCCTAACTCTAGATCGTTGCTTTTAATTTCAGCCTGGCAACTCTCTTCTGAATTTGTTGGGTTGAGTATCGAGTTTGAGACACTAAGTCGCCTGGCTCCGGTGGGCAGCTCTCACGGCGGCTGCTTGCTCTACAATCTGTGCCAGGCCGCCCCACTTCTGCGCCAACACGGCTATACGTCTGACGAGTAGAATAGCCGTACACTCAGTACAGAACCAGACGAAATCTCGTTATATAATTACGCTTCTTTATCTCGCTGAGATTGAGAGGAACACATTTAGGCCGGAATTTTTATACAACAATTAGAATATTAAATTCCAAATCCCACTGGTTTAGCACAGCTTCTTATGCCACAATTAACGCTCATTTCTGTGGCTTTCGGTCTGGCTTTTCATGCGCAAGCAATGCGTGCTATTGTGATCGCCAATTCCGTGAATGTCGCTCATCGCGGAGTATTTACGAGTAGGCTGAATGCAAACGCTGTCGGCCGAATTGACGCTGTGGCTGACACACATTGGATTACTGGTCTGATAGGTAATCGTGAGGGCTAAAATGTCGGGTCAAGTCAGGGAGTTGAGAGCAAGGTCACACTGGGACAATGAGACGAAAACCCTAAGCCTTCGCTGCCTGGTCGGCAGAGTGCGGCCTTGTCCGTGCTTCAGTCCAACAGTGGTGTGTTAAACAGATCTGCGTGCTTTGGTCCACTGATCGCAAGGAGTATTCGCCAGTGGCTGTCGGGTGAGGTTTGCTGCGGGGAAAACGCGGATTAATCTATAACTGCTTCACACAGTGTTGGACTGAGACGAGTGGGAAGTTGTTCGGATCCTTCTGAACTGCTCTAACGAATGCGACAAAATTGGAGTCCCACGATTGGAATTTTTCAACTTGTGTGCATGAGTATAGGTGAAATTTCACGTGGTTTGCAATTCTAGGTAAATGCGGGATGTACTGGTAGTGTTCTCGTGGAAGTGGTATCAGGAGGCGGAGCTTGTCAAATCAAGACGAACAAGTATAGCTCCAGTGGTATATGACAAGGTGTGGCAGAGTAACAGTGAAAAACACCAAAAGTGCACGAATTTGCGGCAGGCACGCACGCACGGTTAACTCGCAAACGACAACTAGTCAATTATAGATTTTAAGGTATCCAAAGTGTATTTGAATTCCTACAACCAATCTATAGTGACCTGAAGATTTCCCCGTTCTGTCTGGATACCATGTGTAAAACATTCTAAAAATATACTGTTACCTTGTACTTAGGAAACGTAGGACGCTCGCCTGTTGGAACCATGACTACGTGTGTTTGAGTCAACCAGACGACTCGTACTTCGCGCTCTTCCGGATTTCACGCCTCGAAAAGTTCTAGCGAGGTCTGCGTTGATGTTCATTCCTTTCCCCTAGCTAGAACCATTTTACGGTTCCTCTAGACAGCGGGATTGTGCGTTTCGATAGTAAACGTCTATCTCGCCTATTTATTCGTCTTCTACTGACTTCTCACTAAGTCGGTACGAACCTGAGTTTATAGCGCTTGAACGATTCCACTATAAATCTCTATCATTTCTCTTTGTAGTAGCAGTTCGTTATTCTGACCGCTGGAAACGCATCCGTAGTGAAGCTTCTTTGACTTCTCTCGTCACCAACACCACAAGTCAGGTTTTGTTTGCGGTTCGCCTTCACCACCATTCTCTTATTGTTTCCTCCCTCCAACTTATTTCGTGATCCAACTATCGTACTGTGACAAGTATTCTAGGTACTGATGCTGCAACGCAGATTAAACATCTAATATACCAGAATCCTCTGTTTTAATCAAAACCAACATTTTTCTAAGTAACCATGGCATCTGCACACTAAATGTTTGTAATAAACCAATTTAGTTTGGTGTTTCACTCTCATATGCGCTCAGTAATAAGCTCATCTATCAAGCTTACTTAGCCACGATATCGGTGGGAAATAGACCGGCGTAATGAAAACTGACGAACAGTGATGTTTACATCGGTCAGAAAAAACTATGTTAATAACAATGCTGCCGACTACAAGCGACTGGATTGTGCATCGAATAAAACCATGAAGGCGTGTTTAACACAGTCTGTGCATCACGATTGAAACAACACGAGAATAAACGAGACTGTAGATATGAAACGCACATCAAAACTTGACATGAGTAGATTTTTGAGGGATGCGTTCTGCATTGACAAGGAGATTAAAAATAAAGGTACCTTGCTCTTCGACTCAACAGTGGACACATTGCGGCTGTTCATGCGGTGATAAGTATGAGCTGACGTCGACTGATCAAAAGATATGGGGGTGATGATAGTGGGAGACGAGGACATTGGATAGGAACATTTAAATATTTAACACCGATCTCTCAGATACCTGCTTATCGCAGTGGTCAATCTAATCGCTGTTACTTTTTCCATTACCAGTTAAGCCATAACGGCATCACTATTGTTGAACACTGATGTTAGGCTGTGCTCATGGAGAACTGTTGCAGGAGTTTTGGTGCTCTGTTTGACTGAACAGATGAGATACTGACGAGGAAATGGGTCACCAACGTCTGTCACCTGATTTCTTGAGGCTAACTCTTCTCCGGCATCGGTTGGAGGGTATGCCACTGCGCTATGGGACGCCTCGGATTTGCTAGCATATCTGACCAATGGCGAAGTCCAGCGCCCGTCTCATTACATCCAAGACACACTCTGCCAATGGCTTCTGAGGTACCGATCCGATCGTAGTCCACGACGGTGACAATCAGTGATACTTTCTGAAAAAGTGTAAAATCATCGCTGATTATATTGAGATGCATTGGATTACTGGATGTTCACGCCTTCGCATAAGTTTTCCAAAATTTCAGGTATTCGGTACATCTGTACGTTTTACTAATTCTGTGTACTATCTAGAAATCAGAATCCTATTTCAGATGGTCCTCTATTCCACGGTATGTGGTTGATGTTCACGATCAACTACAGTTCTTCCATCTAAGCCGAAACGCACAAATTTGTATAGGATAGGTTAACTTGTGTTTAATGGCCCAGAACTTTACACAACAGTCTAATTGACTTTGTCAGCTATGACATATCGGTTCTTCTAAATGTAGATAAATTTATTTAGTCCAAGTACCGAACTGAATTGAATCCATCATCCTGGGCAGTATTTCGATAATAGTTAATGACTAAGAGTAGAACAAATGGGCCAACAAATTGGTAACAAGTTAGTCACAATAACATTCTAAATTAAAAGGACCAGAACTCGCATGCGTAGACGCAACCGCTTCGTCTATGACAAGTTGCATCAATCAGTATTCATCCAATTCTTCATGATTTCCTACTACGTCACTTAATTGACATCCTTGACACTCGGGAGCCCTATGTTCCGAAGCATTAGAAAGTGTGCAAACAGTAAGACATATCCAACATGTCTTACTAACTTTTAGTGACACCAGATAGCCTGTTGTCAAACGCCAATAATATTCACTCCGTGATTCCACCACACCTTGGGACAGTTTTGCAGATGTATATTATCCCATCTGATTCGTTTCCCATTAGGTCCCACATAACAGTTAACCCCACGCCCACCCCACACCTGCTAGTTACACTCGCTTATTTCGACTCTAGAGGCATCTGCTTGCTGCGCACTAAACTTGATCTCTCCTTCGGTATTTGCCATAAGGTTATTACGACTTGTGTTGTGCTAATTGGGTGCGTAATTAGCGTTACATGCTAACAGTTTACATGGTAGCAGATATCATATGTCCGCCTGAGATCCCGCATGCGATTGAAGACTTGGGGTGGAAGCTCGGCATGTGCTCATCTCAGTGGTTAACTGGGCGAAGATTGCCAAACTGTCCTCGGAGTTCATAGTAGAGTGCCAATGCCAGTGTGTAACCCGCAAACAACCCACAAACGCGACGAACTTTTTAAACTACAGTATAGCTCCGTAATGGGAATAGGGACCCAAACAGTCAGCTATCAGGAAAGGCTGGCTTCACCGGAATAACGGGTCACAAGGTTTTGCTAACCGGCGAGCACCACAACCGATCAGATGCTCTAAAGACTAGACAACCTGAAATCGTCTCCATGTGGACGCTAGTGAAACCGACAAGTTCAATCGAGCAGCGGTCTTAATCGATGGTGTCCTGGTTTTACGAAAAGTTGTTGTATCCTCACTTAACGAGGTTGCTTGATTGTACCGTGTGTTCTTATTTGTTCTTAGTGTGTCGGAATGAGAGACACGAAAGCGAAACAACAAAGGGTCATTATACTCAAATATACCCCACGTGTTATGCATGGTCCTATTCATAAGGGAGGTAGTCGCACTCACCCTACCAATTGCAGACCAAAAACGCTGTTTCTTGTGCTTTCCAAGGTTATCAAGCCTATCACCGCTGATGCACTTATGCAGTAGCTGGAAAACCGCAGCATAATAGCCGAAGAGCAGCATAGTAGCCGAAGAGCAGCATAGCTTCCGACAAAACCACTCATGCACTACGTACCTGTTAATTGCACGCAATAGTTGAACTGAAGCAGCTGATGGTGGAGCAAGAGTAGGTATCATCTATCTGGACTTCCTAAAAGTGTTTGATCGCTTAGGCCATCGAATTATCCACCATAAACTTTAGAACTACGTCATTAGTGACCCATCCTGCCTTGGATAGGCAACATTCTCCACAAACGTCAGTTGGAGGTGAGAGTACGAAAATGCCTCCCCGACGTAACTGAAGTGGAGCTTGGTGTACCACGACTCTCGGTGTTAGGGCTTCGCTCATTCTTGGTTTCATAAACTACCTAGCGAGGGTAATTACTTCCGATTTCCTATTCTTCACTGATGATATCAAGGCATGTCGAGTGTTCAGCGAACCAGACGACCACTAAGTATTCCATCTTGATCTAGATGTGATTTCAAACTGGTCAGTGTAGTGTACTCTGTCATTCAGTGTGGTAAGATGTCACGCTGTTCACTTACGCCCTAGACATGACTACACGTAGTGGCTTGAGTCACCAATTTCGCAAATCACTTTCCAGGAACATGACCTTGGAGTGCTCATACAATGTGACATTAAATGATAAAAACAGTCTGAGATAGCTGCGAAAAGAACCAACCAGCACGTCGGTCTGCTGCGAAGCTCACTCGAGAGTTTAAACCCATCCACCTTCCCGATGACGCACAATTATTACGTGCGCCCTCACGTTGAATACGCCATGCAAGGGTGGCAAACTTTGTTGAAGCGTGACCTGGACGCAGGGCAACAAAGAACGGCAAAGGTCTACATAATCCTTCTTACCAGAGAAGGCTGAAGTCACTTGGATTTTTCAATAGATGCTACCGAAGACTGCACGGCAATCTCATATCAGAGTATAAAATAATGTGTGACCCTAAGCACTTATGCCGTCACTTGCTGAGTTTCAGCCATAACACCAATCCCACAGGTAACTGCTTGAAACTGAATGAACAGTACAGCCGGCTGGAAGAAAATGGGATTATTTTTCTTTTCGGGTTTGCAAACCTTGAAATTCTCTCCCTAACTCCGTAGTTTACTCGACCACCTTGGATATTTTCAAAAAGCTATTGGATATTGCCCTTGACTCCCATCACTTCGTTGCCCAAGCTGTGCTACTTCCCAGTATAATAATTATGCCTTCAAGCCGGATTTATATGTTATATAAATCTAAGGACGCGATACATGATTGAGTATTCGTGTTTTTAACTTTCCAACGGAGTTCATTAGCTATAACTGCCTCCATATGGTCTTATTGTTTGCATTCAATTACTACTGTTGTTCAGCAGTGCATTTGTTCGATAGACGCTTAAACAGACAACGCACATATCTGGGTTCGGTATTTTGGCTGCACATGTTTTGTCACCACTCGAGGTGAGATCCTCAGTGCATTATCATATAAGCTCAGTGAGGCCTCGCATCACGCCGCTCCGATGCATAATAGCGCACTGACTATATCACCTCTGGTGGGGACGAAACGTTTGCAGCCAAACTACCGATTCAAACGAACACCCAGGCCACCAACTGAACGTACATATTTTTGCTATTGTAGTTTTGGCCCTGCATCTCGTGGGACTTCTCAAGCAACTGCTTTTTACCTGTAGTAAATCATTGTTCATTGTCAATGAGTCTGGAGACTTCGATCGACAACAGCGTCTTCGTGTGAGACGTTATAAAGGACGCTCCTGATAACTCACAACTAAAGCTTAACTGGTCTCACCTTTCTCTAGGGTATAACTTTATACCATGGTGACCGTATTACGAAATCTGGTTTATAATTAGAACGAAGTTCTGAGTTGTCAACCTTGGCAGAACTGCACCACGTGGCCAGTCAGTACAATGAAATGAAGTAGTAGTTCCGCTTTTACAAAGAAGCCTATTGAACCCCGCTGTTGGGAAATGCCACCATAAGTTTAAGCGGATGGTCTATTCAGGTGACCGGTAACATTATTTAATGAACCGCTGCACCAACTGCAACCAACTTGGAATGCCTCGCTTAATTCAACTCTTGTGGCGCCTCCTGTTTGGCAGGATTTTGGACGTTCGCATTGAAAACGTTCAAGATGTTTTTGGAAATAGTGGTATTTTGGAATAAATGCTCCGTTTGTCATTATCACTGATTCATAACTTGCATCTGTCTACCGGTTGCTATGGTATATCTTTTGAGCAGATACCTAATGCCTTTGCCAATGCTAATACTACGCGCGTTTAAATGACCCTGCGCTTCTGTGTAATCACTTTGGATCAAAAAAATACTGTAGTGTCTGGCAGGTAGGCATACCAACTCACTAAGATATAATGAATCCCTTCTCCAGGTGTTCAAGCTTCTGCCATCATTACTTAATCACATTATCGTCTGGACTGGTTTGCGTGAAGCGTCGATGTGACCATGTGTGGCGTAATGGAACTCAACTGGATTTTTAAGACAGATACATTTGACTATTGTGATCACAGCTATCACCCTTAGAAGCGATTTGCAGTAATTAATCGTGGTGGCAGCACCACTTGAGTAGACGGATTCACCCGCAAGGTGTTAGCGGCCAGATGACATCCAAGCTTAAAATCTTCAGTAACATGTTCAATCCTTCCTGGGCACAACGCAGGCCGAAACTCACCTGTATTTGCTCAAATGGTACTTCAAATGCGAAGGATTCATTGTAGTACGGGTTCAGTGTGCACTTCTTGATAGTCGTCTTCTTCTTTTTTATTCTCTTTCCTCCGAGCATGAGCGATAACTTGACATAAGGATCTGAAGTAAAAATAATCACTGAAAGTGAGCAGATCTATTGGTTTCGTTTTTTGTTACCCATCTGCTATTTTATATCCGTGGCTTTTGGCTAGGCATCATGGGTAAATAGTATAAGCAGAAGGTGATATCCCTACGCTACGCTGCGTCAGTACACGCAATGCACTGATGACGTTACCTCCATTGGTGACTAAACGTTTGCAATAGAATGGCCGAGCTTAGTGAACGGTTCGACCGGTATAAGATCGTACACCCTACCAAGTCCATGCAGAATATAGATTGATTGGTACAAATATCATGGACACAAAAGTCTCACCGGATAATCCACCAACATCCATCTTCTTTAAATTCTTTGCCTCAAGAATATTGATAGTCAGCTTTCCAGCCGTCGGGACGTAACGTAAAGAGAAACAGATGTCTCCCAATCGATTCTCCTGTGAATGCAAAGAAATGGGTAGAGTCGTTGCGTTAATGTCCCCGTGAGCACTACCATGCGTTTGGTCTCTGCTCTCCCGATTGAAAGCTAACTTCTTATATTCAACTGCTAAAGCCAAGCTTATCGCCTTTTAGCCTGGGATTCTTCTCCAGCCAAAGCCGTAAAATGACTCTTATCTCCAATCATATTCAGAATAGCCTTAACTAGCTATTTTCGTGGTTCCCATCGGGAATGCTCTGTCTTCACTATGAGTGTATTTTAATATCAATCTGAAGACTACTGGTCACTCATACTTAAGCGCTGCATTACAAACTCACGATAGTAGAGCGCTTTTGGCGTAATCGCTCCTGCGAAAATCTGGCTTCTGAAATACTAAAGGACGCCAGTCACCCACTATATAGGGCACTGTCGGATTGTATCTCGACTTCTTGGACCAAACAAACGTGCAAAATCATTTATGCGTGTACACGGACGTACGGTACGTCAGTTGCTCCCTATTTGTCACGTTTGTTGAGGGATCAATATGTAGTCAAACAAGTAATTATTGCCAAAATGAGTCGGCCATATCACCTCTGCCATCTTTTCAGATTGCTTGCAACCAAATTCAATTTTATGCTGTTTCTCTAGTTTTATCTGTAGCTTTAGTGTGTGTTGTTGCTGGAAATTTTACTCTTTATGGGTGCCTAAAGCGCATTGCTGATACGTTGTCATACACCACAAACCCCATCAAATATTTGCGGGCTTTCTTTTGTCCCTAGCTTGATAATTCTTTCACCCTTGAACGCACATTGGATGCCAGCTATTCAGAAAGCCATTTAGCGGGAGTGGTCGGCATACGCCAATAGACTAGACCTCTTCATCTGGCTACCGGCAAATACCGTTCTTGATAGTTGAGGTGAAAGCCCAGAGGAGACAGGTCGAATGTTTATTGCCAAAGTGTACAGTCCTCCCGTGTATTGACTGTTACCACTCCCTTCCGATACTTACTAGCTAGGGTAGGATGTCCGGGTGTCACGCGATGGATTGGCATGATAAACTCAAATTTGGTACCATGTGTATGGGAGACCCACAGATCCGACACACAAATTCAACACAGGTTTTATTATACTGCATCGAAAATCTAAGTGTTCGAAAAGACGTTATTTTTATTCAGTATTTTCACAACAGTGACTTAGTGAACCTCGAACAAATCCAACACAGCTGCCAACTAGGAGGTTCGGCCGGACAGACTGTTTGTGCGCCTTTTGTGTTATGCTGTCAAGTGTGTACTAGCCGCTAAGCAACCTGTGACCTTCGTTTGGACAGCGTCGGATTACTGTGACTAGATATTAATCAATTGGTCAAATGTGCTCAGAAAATGAGCACAGGTCACCTCACTTTGTCTACTTAAATTTCACGTTTTGTCATGTGTTATGGTAGATCCACAGATAGTATAGCTTATGAACAGCACGTACCGATCTATTACGAAACTACTGAATTCCTGTGCAATCATTTCCCACCTCTGAAGTGTATTCATTTTCGTGGCAACATTGTCAAACAGTTTCAGGTTTAACATAACTGTTCTTTAGGAAACTGGCCTCGGGAACAGACTAAGTCACTTCTAACAAGGAAATATAATAGTGTGGTAGTAATAGCAGTAGTAATTATTGTAGTAGTAGTAGTAGTAGTAATAGTAGTAGTAATAGTAATAGTGTCTCATACTCTGTGTTAACTAAGGGCCATGCAAGTCAAAGCACTAAACGGGCTGCCTTAAATGCTACTAGCCGATATCTGAGTGTTTGTACTCAGTGTTCCAAATCGCTCTTGCATCGTGGTTATATTTATAGGTGTAAGTATCTAGATGAACAACTACATGGATTCCAAAGTTGTTAGACACCTGACTGATGTCGACCCCAGTACAAGCTTCACTTTTCTCTACCGACCGGCTGAGTGTTTAAATTGATCCCCATACCTACATTCTGCACTCTACCCGGAAGATGAAAACTCAATCACATTAGACTACTAAGATCTTTGTGGAAAACACGTCTTTTTTCATTGCTACCCAGGAGTGGATACCCCATAGCACTTGTACGGCTATTTCAACGGAAATGAAACGTTGACAATATTTTGGAGAAAGTCATGCGTGTTTCTACGAACTGCTTTTCATCGTGACTAAGGAACCAAAAACGGTGTAAGTAAGCTAATCAAGGGCTGATCTTAGGCGTTTTATGAGGATGGCTATGGGAACCCCGAAACACTACACGGAATGTGACGTGATAGCATGATAACACATGTGACTACTTTTTCGTCGTCATCCGGTGGACTTAGATCACGCCACTCTTCGATCACTCTGGCCAGATCCACGGATCCGAGAGGTACTTGAATTTGTCCGATTTGATCATGCTTCGAAAATCGATCGAAGTCGAAAACGTTAAACACAAGTGTTTTGCCCGCCACTTCCGCAAACGGAACCTAAAATTAGATGGAATACGTAAGAGCAACCAGTTATTTCCAGCTGTTCAGACGGTAATGATTGACACAGGATTGAAATTTCATATCATTGTAAAGGGATGAACAATGCTTTGTCACCGGTACAAATGCGGGTGCACGATGTTAAGCACTAGTTTAAGCGTCTTCTAATTTAAACGCGCTACAGCATAATCATAATGTGAAATAAAAATTAATGTGAAAACAAAAACCAATTGGGGAGCAGCTACAGTTGGCGTATGCGGTGAGAAAAATAATAACGATCACACCTGGACCACTTCCTTGGGTTCATACAATACCTAACTCCAATGTGTGTATATCGTAAGGATATCCCACATTGGCATAGTTTAGGTATTGAAGTGGGTGCAGTCATTAGCAACATCCAATCGTATGTTACCAAAAGTATGGAAGCAAAATAGAGTCTGGAAGAAAGTTCCAAGATTCTCAAGCCTAAAATAAGAAGTAGTTCCGTTGGCATTCTAGACGGCTTTATTGATCGCTTATTTGAGCAATGATTTATTACGGGTTAAAATCAAGTCTCTGACGAGCTCCTAGAGTGATTGAGGTGCATTTTATAAAAGTTAAAAGTATGCTGAGTCATCTATCACGCGTCAAACGAGATAAATATGTTCATAAATTGAGTCGGTGTAAAATGACATCGAATGCAAGCATACAGAAGAACATCCGGTGCAGTGTTCAATGACGCTGCCTCTCTGGGTCCATGTGACACATAAACCTGGTGGAAGGGAGTGAATTATGTAACCCACAATAGTGCAGTACAGGTAACGAATTGCTGCAAACTAAGAGCAACAACGAAGTGTTTTTGAAAATATTCAAACTGGTATAGGATACAAGTGGGTTTTGGAGAGAGTTCAAGGGTCAGCGAATCCGAAGAGGAAAGCAATTCCGTCAACACTTTAGACACTATATTGTTCACTCATTTTCAGGCAGTTACCTTTGAAATTGTTGTTATGGCTGTTTCAGCGAATAGCGGTACATGGTCGGGTTCACCCAATGTTTGGTGTACTAATTGAGATCGCAGCGTAACCTCCGGTAGCATCTACTAAAAACTCCAAGTGACCTCAGCCTTCGCTGGTAAGAGTGATTATGTAGGCCCTTAGCATTCTTTACTGACCTGTGTTGTGGTGCCTCTAGCCCCTCTAGATTACTGTTCAACCAAGGTTGCCAAGCTTGGATGACGCATTCAACCTGAGGTCACACGTAAGTACTGTACATCATTGGGCACATTGATAGGTCTAAACTCACGAAACCACTTCGCAACAGGCCGATGTGCCGCTTGACTCTTTTCGCAGCTGCTTCAGACTGCTTTGAATATTTAAGGTCACATTGCATGTGTACCCCAAGGTCGCGTCCCTGGGGTTTGGCTTGCAATCATTACACCACAAGCCAATACGCGTAGTCATGTTTAGCGCAGAGGAACAAGGCGACATTTTTTCGCGATTAATGATAGGACGCTCTGAACTGACCAGTTCGAAAGCGCGTCTAAATCAATCTGGAACTCTAATTGGTCGTCCGGTCCTCTGATGTCTCACCATATCTTGATATCATCAGCGAAGAATAGGAAATCAGAAGTAATTTCCCTTGGTAGATTGTTTATGAAAACTAAGAATATACGTGACCCCAACACCGAGCCTTGTCGTACATTTCACTGCACATCAATCACATGGGACAGTGATTCCAGGACTTTCACCTCCAACGGACACTCGTGTACAGAATCTTTTATCCAACCCAGACTGGGTCTCCAATACCGTAGTTCTGAAGCTCATGAAGGAGAATTTGATGACCTAAGCGATCAAACGCTTTTGAGAAGTCCAGGTAGATGACATCTACTCCTGCTCTACCATCAACTACTTTAGTCCAGCTATTGCATGTAATTAATATATTAGTAGTACATGAGTACTATTTATAGAATCCATGCTACTCTGCGGCTATTAAGCCGTGATTTTTCAGGAATTGCACCAGCGCATCTGCGATACTTAATTTCACAAAGCATAGGATGCGGCGTCTTTGGATCGTAATTGTTTAGGTCAGTTCGACTACCTTAATGAATGGTAGTGATGACTCCGCACTTCCACATTCGTGGAATTTGGCTCTCCTCTTGACAGCGCTGATACGAAATGGCAAGTGGTTCTGTTAGATCCCCGGCTACTGCCCGCAGAACCTTCGGCCGAAGATTATCGACTTCAGGAGAACTGTATGTACGCAGGGATAATAACTTCTTCAGCAAGCTTCTGCAGCGACGGCACAGTGGGATTGGGAAGAATATTTGGGCTGGTTATACCCTGGAACGTAAGAAAGTAGTAATGTCGCAGGGCACAGGCTGCTTCCTTTGCCCATCGTGTATACCCGTCAATCGTGACGAGTGGTGCGATTCCACGCAGCACACTACGAAATCCATTGGCTTGCCTGTATAAGAGTCTGCCGATGTGCTACCCTGTCATCGTGAATCGAAGCGGCCTCGTAGTTACGCTGTGGTCCAGATATTATCATTGGGCGAGTCCTTTTGTTTTAACCATTCCAAATCCATCAAGGACGTATAGTTACGTGTTATGCTCCTTATAAATGAGTTCGTGTTGCGCTACCGATGGAAGGATTTCTGTGGCGAGGCGTGCGCTACCACTGTGCTAAAAGTCTTTGTGAAAGTTTCCCAGGCGACTTATTGGGTGGGGAGTGATCAGTTAAAAGAGTCTAAGATTTTTCCTTCACAAGTATGAACAACATGTTGAAGTGCGTGATAGCATGCACTTTACCACCATCCTCTTCGGCATTGAAGTTATCGTCAAATGAATGCATAAATAATTTGTTTCAACGGTGCGAGAGACTGTTACCGCATAGGGACAGATTGGTTCTGACCTGAATGACTTTCTTGAGACCGGTCAGGCATGCGATCGTAGTATTCCACGCATACCGAACTTTGTCAGTATCTGAGCCAATGGTTTACATCAGTTCACACATGAGTTAAGCGCTGTGCAGCCAAATTGAGCCACATGTCATGCCCTAGTTGCATCGCTAGCACTTGCGATGGGATTATGCAAGCAGAACGGTACGGATTTACATGACGAAGCAAGCGGCTAGATTGCCGCAACCGAACGAAACAGATGCTTGGACGCCTACACATCGCCTATACGCGGATTGGTTCCTATTTGGCAGCGTTGTATTGTTTTTTTGACTAAATCAAAGAAGAATGTCATAAAGGCAGAAACGTCTTTAGTTATGAAGTGATCTAGTTATTTAGGTCGATGCTTCTACAACCTAGTCATGCTGTCATTTTTGATTAGCCTGTCTTGTCGAATAAACCGTTTGTCGCTGACGGACCTAGTTCTGCGACAACACATGTTCACCTTTGGCCACAGTATGCGGCAATCTAAGGACAAACGCTTAGGGCTTGTTGAAAATGTCCGACCAGGTGTAGGTGTGGCCATCAGCCCCGTTTGCTAGTTAGCGCCTGCTTCAGTAGAGCGGTGGATCAGGTGTCTATCCCCACCTTCACAGTGTAGTCCACCATTGTTGACCCCACAGAAGTCCAATGCGCGGGCACATTGGAACATTGTGTTTACTGGGAATAAAAGCCCGAGCTTTACATGACCCATAGGGTAGAAAGAATTCGTGTCGGGTCTAATGAAAGGCCAAGCAACCTTATAGCGGGTTGGACTCGCGTGTTAGCTGGATGTTCACCGGGCTTATGCGGTATTTAGACAGAATGCACGCCGGCTCAAAGAGTGACATCCCACCACGCCCTCCGAAACGGCTATGGAAAGGAAGCTGGTAGATGAAAATAGGAAAGAAACTCCATCAAGTAGAAGGTAGTTATATCAAGGAATCTCGCGGTGCAGCTCGGCCAGGTGACAGTCCAGGCGGGTCTTAAAATCTTCGCCACAGTGGGTGCCAAGACTAAATCGGCAGGCAGAGCATTTCACGGTCGGCAGATTCGCAAAGCGAAGTAGTGTCGTCTGCAGTTCAGCCGACTGTGCTGATGTGTGAGCCTCAGTGGTGGGAGTACAATTGGTGCAGTGTGAGTAGGTGGTGACAGGGATGTCCAGGGTTGGATAAGATCATAAATACAAGGATCAGGTTGCCCCGTAGACGTTGGTACTTAAGCGAGTAGAGGCCCAGGCAGTGAAGTCGTTGTGGATAATCTAGATGCTTGAGACCTCGGACCACTTTTGTTGCTCGACGCTGTGGGGCTTCGAGTATGCGTTGGTCCTTCAACAACCAGGGGCTCCAAGCCTGAATAGCAAACTCCAAGTGGAGTAGAAGAAAAGCGTTGATGAGGAGGCGGAAATTGCTAGGGTCAATTTGACCAAAGGCTCGTTTCAGCAGTCCCACCATGCGGTTAGTAGAAGCAGTTGCTTTCCGGTAGGAAGCAGATACAGAAAAACTGGTTTGGCTAATGATACCCACGTCTCTTTCGGATAAAGAGATCTGGAGGATAGACGCTCCCAGGTAATATACAGGAGAAAAAGCTGAAGGACGGGTAGAAAGGACGCGACATTTCGAAGCGTTAAATGGAAGATTATTCTCTATGGACCACTGATGTAGACGCTCGAGGTCCGTCTGAATTGCGTGGGCATCATCCGGAAGGTTACTTGTGCGTCACAGCTTCGCGTCATCCGCATATAGCAGCAGCGAAGGCTCCACTTATGGTGTGACGTCATCAATGAAGGCTAGGAAGAGGTGCGGTGCGAGAACTGACCCCTGTGGAATTCCGCTTGTGACAAGGGTGCGGGGAGACAACGCTCCGTCCACGCGTACTTGGACGGTACGGTTTTGAAGGTAATTCCGGATCCAGTCCTTCAAGGCCCCTGAAACGCCGTATGACAACAGTTTCTGTGGTAGAATGTTGTGGTCGACCTTGTCGAAGGCTTTGGCGAAATCCAGGAATATAACATGCGTTTCTAGGCTAGAGTCGGCAGCAGTCGTCCAGCTATCCCTGGCAAGTAGTAGGTTACTCAGGCACGACCGTT